TAAATTTTAGATTTTTCAGTTCTTCAATATTTTTTAATTTTTCAAATTTTGACTTTTCTGAATTTTCAGTTTTCGGATTTCTCAATTAATCTATTTTTTATTTTCCCATTTCTCCACTTCCCAAAGTTTCCATCTTTCATTTCTTCAATTTTTAGATTTTTCAAGTTTTTGATTTTTCAATTTTTCGAATTTTTAACTTTGCGATTTTTCGAATTTGCTTTTTGACTTTTCGGTTTCTCAATTTTTTAATTTATTAATTTTTGGATATTTCGTTCAATTTTGTGATTTTTCAATTTTTCGATTCTACAATTTTTCTTCTATTTTTCAATTTTTCAAACGTTTCTAAATTTTCAGTTTTCCGATTTCTGAACTAATCTTTTTTTTATTTTCGCATTTTTCCAATTTTGTGATTTTTCAGTTTTTCGATTCTACAATTTTTCTTCTATTTTTCAATGTTTCGATATTTGAGTTTCGCGATTTTTAAATATTTCGATTTTTCAACTTTTCAAACGGTTCTAAATTTTCAATTTTTCGATTTCTGAACTAATTATTTTTTTTATTTTCGCATTTTTCGACTTGCCAAAGTTTCTATTTTTTTCAATTCTTCAATTTTTCGATTTTTCAGTTTTTCGATTCTACAAGTTTTCTTCTATTTTTCAACTTTTCGATATTTGAGTTTTGCGATTCTTTAGTATAATTTCGACTTTTCGAGTTCTGGATTTTTCGATTTCTCGACTTTTTACAATTTGGATTTTCAATTTTCCGTTTTTCAAACTTTCGATTTTTCAATTTTTTAACTGTTTTATGCTTCAATTTTACAACTTTTCGATATTTAAACTTTTCAATTTTTAAAATTTTAGGTTTTTGGATTTCTAGAGTTCTATATTTCAATTTTCGGAATTTTTACATTTTCGATTTTCCAATTTTTCTTTTCTAAAATTTCTCGATTTATCAATTTTTCAATTTTTAACTTTTCTTTTCGGCTTCCGACTCCTCAATTTCTCGATCCTCTGATTTTTCGATATCTCGGAGTCTCATTTTTAATTTTTCGATGTTTCGGTTTTTCGATTTTTTACTTTTGGACTTTTCAATTTTTTAAATTTTAAATTTCCGAATTTTTATATTTTGGTGTTTAGATCTCTAGATTCTTCAATTTTGCGATATTTTAATTGTTCAATGTTTTAAAATATAGATTTTTCGATTTCTCGATTTTTTTTTCAGTTCTTCAGTATTTCTATTTTTCAATTTTTCACATTTTGACGTTGCTAAATTTTCAGTTTTCCGATTTCTCAAGTAATCTATTTTTGATTTTCCCACTTCTTAAAGTTTCGATTTTTCAACTTCGCTTTATCGGTTTTTCGATTTCTCAATTGTTTTAAATCCTCAATTTTTGAATATTTCTTTCAGTTTTGAGATCTTTCACTACATATTTCGATTCTTCGACTTTTCGACTTCTGGATTTTTCGATTTATTTTTGGATTTTCAGTTTTTCGTTTCTTAAACTTTAGATTTCTCAACTTTTCCATATTTTAATTTTTCAATTTTTAAAATTTTCTAGTTTCGATTTGTTGATTTTTTTGATGTTTGGATTTTTCCATTTTTGAATTTTACGATATTTTAATTTTTCACTGTTTTAAATTTTAGATTTTTCAGTTCTTCAATATTTTTTAATTTTTCAAATTTTGACTTTTCTGAATTTTCAGTTTTCGGAATTCTCAATTAATCTATTTTTTATTTTCCCATTTCTCCTCTAAAGTTCCCATCTTTCATTTCTTCAGTTTTTCAATTTTTCGATTTTTCAAGTTTTTGATTTTTCAATTTCTCGAATTTTTAACTTTGCGATTTTTCGAATTTGCTTTTTGACTTTTCGGTTTCTCAATTTTTTAATTTATTAATTTTTGGATATTTCGTTCAATTTTGTGATTTTTCAATTTTTCTTCTATTTTTCAATTTTTCAAACGTTTCTAAATTTTCAGTTTTCCGATTTCTGAACTAATTTTTCTTTATTTCGCATTTTTCCAATTTTGTGATTTTTCAGTTTTTCGATTCTACAATGTTTCTTCTATTTTTCAATGTTTCGATATTTGAGTTTTGCGATTTTTAAATATTACGATTTTTCAACTTTTCAAACGGCTCTAAATTTTCAATTTTTCGATTTCTGAACTAATATTTTTTTTATTTTCGCATTTTTCGACTTGCCAAAGTTTCTATTTTTTTCAATTCTTCAATTTTTCAGTTTTTCGATTCTACAAGTTTTCTTGTATTTTTCAATTTTTCGATATTTGAGTTTTGCGATTCTTTGGTATTTCGACTTTTCGAGTTCCGAATTTTTCGATTCCTCGAATTTTTTAACTGTTTTATTTCGATTTCTCATTTTTCAACTTTTCCAGTTCGTCTATATGTCAATTTTCGGAATTTAAAAATTTTCGATTTTCCAATTTTTCGATGTTTCGATTTTTCAATTAACCGATTGTTCAATTTCTGGATTTTTAAATTTTAGATTTTCCAATTTTTATTTTTTTGATCTTTTCATGTTTGGGTTTCTCGATTTTACAATTTTCCTTTGTGTATGTGAATTTTTCGTTGTTTTAAATTTTCGATTTTTTAATTTTGCCATCTTGGTTTTTCGATTTTTAAAATTTTTCGACTTTTCGATTTTTCGCCTTCTGGATTTTTCGATTTTTTATTCTTGGATTTTCAGTTTTTCATTTTTTAAACTTTGGATTTTTCAATTTTTCGATTGCTTTATATTTCAATTTCTCAATTTTTCAAATTTTTCATATTTTAAATTTCTAAATTTTTCGATTTCTCGAGTTTCCAGTTCTAGATTTTAATTTTTCAATTTTCCGAATTTTTCAATTTTTTGACATCTCTATTTATCGAGATTCGGATGTTTCCATGTTTTGGTTGTTCAATTTCTCGATTTATCAATGTTTCCATTTTTAACTTTTCGATTTTGGCGTATATCGGTTTCTCAATTTTTCGATCTTTTGATTTTTCGATTTCTCGATGTCTCAGTTTTTGAATTTTACGATGTTTCGATTTTTCGATTTTTGAATTATCCGATTTTTCAATTTTCCAACTTTTAGAATTTTCTAGTTTCGATTTCTCGATTCGTTGATTTTTCAGTTTTTCGATTTTTAAATTTTAGATTTTCGAATTCCTATTTTTTTGATTTTTTGATGTTTGGATTTCTCTATTTTTCAATTTTACGATATTTTAATTTTTCACTGTTTTAAATTCTAGATTTTTCGATTTTTCAGTTCTTCAATATTTTTTTATTTTTCAAACTTTGACCTTTCTGAATTTTTAGTTTTCGGATTTCTCAATTAATTTATTTTTTATTTTCCCATTTCTCCATTTCCCAAAGTTTCCATCGTTCATTTCTTCAGTTCTTCAAATTTTCGATTTCTCAGGTTTTTGATTTTCCAATTTTTTAACTTTGCGATTTTTCGACTTTGCTTTCTTGACTTTTCGGTTTCTCAATTTTTTAATCTCCTAATTTTTGGACATTTCGTTCAATTTTGTGATTTTTCAGTTTTTCGATTCCACAATTTTCTTCAATTTTTCGATACATATTTGAGTTTTGGGATTTTTTAGTATTTCGACTTCTGGATTTTTCGATTTTCAGTTTTTCATTTTTTAAACTTTAGATTTTTCAATTTTTCAATTTTTAAATTTATAGATTTTGTGATTTCTCGAGTTTCCAGTTCTAGATTTCAATTTTTCAATTTTTCGAATTTTTAAATTTTCACTTTTCCACTCCTCGATTTTTCGATTTTTTGATTTTTCGATTTCTTGATGTCTCAGTTTTTGAATTTTACGACGCTTCGATTTGTCGGGTTTTCGACTTTTTACTTTTCGGTTTCTCGATTTTTCGATTTTTGAATTATCCGATTTTTCAATTTTCCAATTTTCTAATTTCGATTTCTCGATTCGCTGATTTTTCAGTTTTTCGATTTTTAAATTTTAGATTTTCGATTTTTTTTTTGATGTTTGATTTCTCCATTTTACAATTTTACGATATTTTCCTTTTCCTGTTTTAAATTTTTCCATTTTTCAGTTCTTCAATATTTTTTAATCTTTCAAATTTTGACTTTTCTGAATTTTCAGTTTTCGTATTTCTCAATTAAACTATTTTTTATTTTCCCATTTCACCATTCTCCAAAGTTTCCATCTTTCATTTCTGCAGTTCTTCAATTTTTCGATTTTTCAGGTTTTTAATTTTTCAATTTTTCGATTTTTTAACTTTGCGATTTTTCGACTTTGCTTTTTGACTTTTCGGTTTCTCAATTTTTCAATTTCCTAATTTTTTGATATTTCGTTCAATTTTGTGATTTTTCAGTTTTTCGATTCTACAATTTTTCTTCTGTTTTTCAATTTTTCGACATTTGAGGTTTGGGATTTTCGACTTTTTACAATTTGGATTTTCAATTTTCCATTTTTAAAATTTTAGGTTTTCCGATTTCTCGAGTTTTCAGTTCTTCTATATTTCAATTTTTCAATTTTCGAAATTTTTTAATTTTCGATTTTCCTATTTTGTTTTAATTTTTCGATATTAATATACTTAAACAATGGTCCTATTAACGTTTTTCCCTTATAGTTCGCATTTCTGATGCGAAAAGAGTGCGGGTTTTTGCACCTAGGTAACCATATTTCGGGGGATTTTAATACAACGAGCACCGGCGTACTGACTTGAACTAAAATTGTTTGATATTGTTTATCCATTAATAAAATTGTGTTCCATTTTACGAAAATAAACAATCACTTTAATGTAATTCTACATGAAAATTATTTGTTTTGCGAATATTACAACGACTTTTTTTAATATCGTTAATGACAACAAACGAATGACTGTATTATAACTTATTAATCTGTTTACTCGAACAAATAATGGTCGAAATAAAAATTACCAAGTACCCACTTAATATAAAACTAAAACAATAAGTCTACCCAAAAGTAATCCATTTCTCGGCTACCGCTCGCGCTAAAAACACACAATGAACGAAAAAGTTTCCCAAAAACTCTTAAATTCAATCAGACCTCTCCTCCTCCAAAGCAGAATTTTCGGTCTGACGACGTTCAACGAAAAAAATTTCAATCAATCAAAACTACACACCTTTTTCAACATTGTATTAGTTGTACTATACTTACCTGCGATTTTTTACTGCATTTACGCTACCGCTATCCAAATAAATTTCGTAATTTACAAAGCCACCAACATAATAATTTTAGTAGCCAACGCAATTTACGTGGCCACTACTTGGATCTGTGCCATCACAAACGGCAACCTACTCATCGATTTTTTGTCAAGATTAATCGACTTCGACACCAAAATCCAAACGATGGGTATCCGCTTGAATTACAAAAAAAGCCACAAGAAAATAATAACGCAAATTTTGGTTAGATACACCATCATCGTTGTTAACGTCGCAGGTTTAGCCTACCTTGCCTTGGAAAATGACGCCGACATGGTAGTAGAATCAATGGCGTACTTCTTAATCGCCGTAAACTCAGCTGTGTGTCACTTAACCTCCACCCTCGTGCTACAACTGAAAGTCCGATTCATCATTCTTAACCGCCAAATCGGCAATTTAATCGAATGTTTCCACAAAAACCAGTCCAAATGTTTGAAATTCAACACAATGGAGCACCTCTTCACTCTCAATAAAATCTGCGCTCTACACCACCACTTGTCGAAACTCGTCAAACTTTTCAACGACATTTTCGGTTTAGTTCTCTTGCTCATGTTCGGTGTGAGCTTCGTCGTTATCGTGATTTCGATCTTCTACCTCACTTCGACTCTACAGTCTACAGTGGTCACTGTTTCCGACGTTTTCAACTCGTTGTTGTCCAACGCCACTTTCATTATTAACACGGTGTACGTCTGCGACGTGTGCTATTCGACGGTGGAAGAAGTGAACAAAACCGGCGAACTCATCCACAAAATAGACACAGAAGACCGCGACGTTCGCGACGAAATCGAAATGTTTTCTTTGCAGATCGCCAACGAGCAAGTGGAGTTCAACGCTGCTGGGTTTTTCCCGATTAACTACACTCTAGTGTTTTCTGTACGTTACAAATTGGGTGAGTTTGGTCTAAATTTTGTGATTTCAGATCGTCGGAGGGGTCACCACTTACATCATAATATTAATCCAATTGTCGAGTAGTCTTGCGAACGCTGAGGCGGAAAGCTACGGGATGTAAACAGATTAAAATAAATATATTGATTTTTTGTCCACACATTATAATCTGTTTTGAAATAAATATTGCTTGATTAAATTGCGGGCGGGTTCTGGGCGACCTTCAAACAAAACGATTAAAACTAATAATTTTTTTTGTAAGAAAAACCCACCTAGCTTGAGTTCTATGTATAAAACTAGCATGATTATGTGACCAGGGACTTTACATTTGCCACTCATCTGCCACACTTGTTTTAAAAGCGCTATAGCTTCATCCAACTGACCCCTTATGGTTTTACAAACGGCTATATTATACTGCATTGTGGCATGAGCTGTGGCCAAATTGTGCGGAAACCACTCTGAAATTAAAAAATAACACAGTCGTGCTAAAATTTGTAACACAGTACAAACTTGGCGGAGGCGACGTTTTTATCCTCTTCTCATCGTTGTCTTCACCTCCTGGCAACTCCAAATTGATGTGTTTGACGTTGTCTGGATTTAAATGTTCCAAAGCCTCTGATATTTTATCCAGAAGAACTAAAGCTTCAGCACAATATAAATGCCCCAGAAGCCTACAACACACGGTTATTTTTTGACACTACTTAAGTATAAAAAAGTACTTGTGGGCTCCTGATAAGCGTGGTTGTTGTAGAAGTTTTTCGGCGTGTTCTAACGCCATAATGTAGTCACCTAGACACAAGGCGACGTATGCACTAGCTGCCAGAATACTGTTTCTGAGACTCATTATACTTTCTGGTGACATAGGGGAAGAAGGGGCCGGGCCTGGGGTACAAGAAGGTACAGGGGGAGTGACTCCTGGTATCAAAAATAAGGGAATGGGAGACGTGTTGTTGTCAGAGGGTAAAAGGGTGGCAGCATTGCGTAAACACAGAGAGGCGAATTCGAGGGAAGGGACTGGAACTGCGTACGATTCACTCTCCGTGCTAAAATAGTTTTTTAATTAAATCCCAAAATATTTTAGTACACAAATACCTGTATTTTTTATCTTTGGATAGCGACGTTGTCAAAATTACTTTTTGTTTGTCTTTGGAGCCTATGACGTCTACAACGATTTCTTTTTGTTTTTTCTGAATGTCAAAGTCGACTTCGTTGGACTGTAACAAAAAATCTGTATAAGGAAATATCGATTTTGCATGTTCTAAATTTCTTGTTGTGAAAAGATGGCTATGTTATGTACATTAAGAACAAAAGGCAAAATATAAGCCCCGCCCACCCACCCTATCTCAATTCTGATGATTTTTTTTTCATTCGTCGTAAGCCGAGGGGTGGAGCTTAATTGTGAAATTTCTATTTTTCTACGAGAAATTAGCTTGTGAAATATGTTCTTAGTGCTCGTGTTATATAACGAAAACTAAATGTATTAATTAAAACCCATCCGTCTCGATCTCAAACGTTATGAATTTTTCATTCGTTGTCAGGCCGAGGGGCGGAGCCTAATTGCAAAATTGATACTTTCGATTCGCTTTTCGATTTTAGGATTTCTCAGTTTTTCGATTTTTATTTTGGAGTTGTTGCATTTTTTAATTTTTTGTTGTCGATTTTTCAGTTTCTCGATTTTTGTTTCGTCAGTTTTTTCAGGTTTCAATGTTATAATTTTTTTTTTGACAGTTTCTCGTTTTTTCCATATTAAGATATTTTTATTTTTTGATTTTTCAATTGTTCATTTTTTTACTTTCGCTATTTTTTCAACATTTGTTCATTTCAATTTTTTGTTGTTGTTCAATGTTTGATTTTTTTTTAATTTTTCAATTTTCGATTTTTTTTAATTTTTCAATTTTCGATTTTTTAATTTTACAGTTTTTCGATGTTTATTCTCACATTCTTCAACTTTTGAATTTTACAATTTGTCGATTTTTAATTAATCAGTTTTCCGATTTTACAATTTCCTTTTTTTCAATTTTTTAAATTTTCAGTTGTTTTTTCAATTATCGAAGTTTTCAGTTTTTCAAGTTTTAAGATTATAATTTTTAAATTTCTCGGTGTTTCAATTTTCGTTTTCTCTATTTCTTATTTTCAATTTTGCATTTGTTCGACTTTTCTGTTTTTTAAATTTTCAGTTTTTTCATTTTTAAGGTTACAATTTTTCCTTTTCCATTGTTGACCTCTTAATTATTCGATTTTGAGTTTTTAATTTTTTGATTTTTCATTTTTTCAGTTCTATAATTTTCCATTTTTTGATTTTTTAAAATTTCGCTTTTAATAAGTTTGTCCTTTGGTTCAAAGATTAAAAAACGAAAAATTGAGAAAATAAAAAATTAAAAATAAAGTACTTCCAACTATGTAATTCTAAGTTGTTTCGTTTCTTCGATTTTTTATTTTCTCAATTCGACATTTTTAAATTTGTTTTTTTTAATTATTAATTTTTCGATTTTTCCATGTTTCGTTTTTACATTTTTCAATTTCTCAATTTTCAAGGTTTCAGTGTTACGAATCTTCGATTTTACGTTTTTATTTTTTTTTGTTAAAATTTACAATTTTGTAATTGTTTCATTTTTAAATTTCCCGATTTTTAATTTTTCACTTTTTTCAAATAATTATCATTAGGATTTTTTTCAAGTGTACAATTCTTAGCTTTTCAATTACCCGATTTTTCAGTTTTTGTATTCTTTCAAATCTTTGATTTCTCGAATTTTTCAATTTTTCCTTGTTTCTTTTTTACAATTTCTTAGTTTTTTAGTTTTCCGGTTTTAATTTTAAAATTTCTAAATTTTGAAATTATTTTTTTTTGTATTCTTGATTAATTTATCGAAGTTTTTGTTTCTCGTTTTTTCAATTTTTCACTTTCTCGATTTTCAATTAATCAGGGTTTTCAGGTTTCAATATTACAATTTTTCGATTTTTCTTTTTTTTTTCTTTATTTTTTCAATTCTTCAATATCTCAGTTTTTAATTGTTGGGGTTTTCAGTGTTTCTTTTTCGATTTTTCAATTTTTAATTTTTTGATTTCTCATTTTTTCAGATTTTTGTTGTTGCATTTTTTAATTTTTTGTTGTCGATTTTTCCATTTTAAGATATTTTGATTTTTCGATTGTTAATTTTTTCGTTATCCGATTTTTTACTTTCGCTATTTTTTCCACATTTCGGATTTCATTTTTTTTTATTGTTCAATGTTTGATTTTTTCAATTTTTCAATTTTCGATTTTTTTCAATTTTTCAATTTTCGATTTTTTAATTTTACAGTTTTTCCATGTTTATTCTGACATTCTTCAACTTTCGAATTTTACAATTTCCTTTTTTTCAATTTTTCAAATTTTCAGTTGTTTTTTCAATTATCGAAGTTTTCAATTTTTCAAGTTTTAAGATTATAATTTTTAAATTTCTCGGTGTTTCAATTTTCGTTTTCTCTATTTCTTATTTTCAATTTTGCATTTGTTCGACTTTTCTGTTTTTTAAATTTTCAGTTTTTTCATTTTTAAGGTTACAATTTTTCCTTTTCCATTGTTGACCTCTTAATTATTCGATTTTGAGTTTTTAATTTTTTGATTTTTCATTTTTTCAGTTCTATAATTTTCCATTTTTTTGATTTTTTAAAATTTCGCTTTTAATAAGTTTGTCCTTTGGTTCAAAAATTAAAAAACGAAAAATTGAGAAAATGAAAAATTAAAAATAAAGTACTTCCAACTATGTAATTCTAAGTTGTTTCGTTTCTTCGATTTTTTATTTTCTCAATTCGACATTTTTAAATTTGTTTTTTTTAATTATTAATTTTTCGATTTTTCCATGTTTCGTTTTTACATTTTTCAATTTCTCAATTTTCAAGGTTTCAGTGTTACGAATCTTCGATTTTACGTTTTTATTTTTTTTTTTCAAATTTACAATTTTGTAATTGTTTCATTTTTAAATTTCCCGATTTTTAATTTTTCACTTTTTTCAAATAATTATCATTAGGATTTTTTTCAAGTGTACAATTCTTAGCTTTTCAATTACCCGATTTTTCAGTTTCTGTATTCTTTCAAATCTTTGATTTCTCGAATTTTTCTATTTTTCCTTGTTTCTTTTTTACAATTTCTTAATTTTTTAGTTTTCCGGTTTTAATTTTAAAATTTCTAAATTTTGAAATTATTTTTTTTTTGTATTTTTGATTAATTTATAGAAGTTTTTGTTTCTCGTTTTTTCAATTTTTCACTTTCTCGATTTTCAATTAATCAGGGTTTTCAGGTTTCAATATTACAATTTTTCGATTTTTCTTTTTTTTTCTTTATTTTTTTCAATTCTTCAATATCTCAATTTTTAAATTGCTGGGGTTTTCAGTGTTTCTTTTTCGATTTTTCAATTTTTAATTTTTTGAATTCTCATTTTTTCAGATTTTTTGATTTTTTTAAATTTCGGTTTTTATAAATTTGTCCTTTTGTTGAAAAATTAAAAGACGAAAAATTAAGAAAATAAAAAATTTAAAATAAAGTACTTCCAAGTAGGAAATTCCAAATTATTTTGCTTCTTTGATTTTTTGATTTCACAGTTTTTCGATTTTTGATTCGTCAGTTTTTTTCAGGTTTCAATGTTACAATTTTTAGATTTGACAGTTTCTCGTTTTTTCCATTTTAAGATATTTTAATTTTTTGATTTTTCGATTGTTGATTTTTTCGTTATCCGATTTTTTACTTTCGCTATTTTTTCAACATTTCGGTATTTCAATTTTTTGTTGTTGTTCAATTTTTTCGATTTTTCAATTTTCGATTTTTTAATTTTACAGTTTTTCGATGTTTATTTTGATATTGTTTAACTTCTGAATTTTACAATTTGTCGATTTTTCGATTTCTAGAAAATTTTGTTTTCCGTATTTTTCTATTTCTCGATTTTTAATTAATCAGTTTTTCGAATTTACAGTTTCTTTTTTCAATTATCGAAGTTTTCAGTTTCTCAAGTTTTAAGATCACAATTTTTAAATTTCTCGGCGTTTCAAGTTTCGTTTTCTCTATTTTTGATTTTCAATTTTGCATTTATTCGATTTCTCAATTTTTAAATTGTTCGGTTTTTCATTTTTTTAGTTCTACAATTTTACATTTTTTTGATTTTTTAAAATTTCGCTTTTAATAAGTTTTTCCTTTGGTTGAAAAATTAAAAAAAAAAACAAAAATTGAGAAAATGAAAAATTAAAAATAAAGTACTATCAACTATGTAATTCCAAGTTGTTTCGTTTCTTCGACTTTTTATTTTCTCAATTCGACATTTTTAAATTTTTGTTTTTTTTTAATTGTTAATTTTTCGATTTTTCCGTGTTTCGTTTTTGCATTTTTCGATTTCTCGATTTTTCAGTTTTTCGATTTTCATTGTTTTTATTTTTCAGTAAAATTTTTGTATGTTTCGATTTTTTAATTTGCAGATATGTATTTTAATTTTGCGATTTCCCATCTTTTTACAGTTTTTCGTTTTTTCGATTTTTCAATTCCTCAATTTTTAAAGTTTTAATGTTACAAATTTTCGATTTTACGTTTTTATTTTTTTTTCAAATTTACAATTTTGTAATTGTTTCATTTTTAAATTTCCCGATTTTTAATTTTTCACTTTTTTCAAATAATTATTATTAGGATTTTTTTTCAAGTGTACAATTCTTAGCTTTTCAATTACCCGATTTTTCACTTTCTGTATTCTTTCAAATCTTTGATTTCTCGGTTTTTAAATTATTCAATTTTTCCATGTTTCTTTTTTACAATTTCTTAATTTTCTAGATTTCCGGTTTTAATTTTAAAATTTCTAAATTTTGAAATTACTTTTTTTTCTATTCTTGATTAATTCGAAGTTTTTGTTTCTCGTTTTTCCAATTTTTCACTTTCTCGATTTTCAATTAATCAGGGTTTTCAGGTTTCAATATTACAATTTTTCGATTTTTCTTTTTTTTTCTTTATTTTTTCAATTCTTCAATATCTCAATTTTTAAATTGTTGGGGTTTTCAGTGTTTCTTTTTCGATTTTTCAATTTTTAATTTTTTGATTTCTCATTTTTTCAGATTTTTTGATTTTTTTAAATTTCGGTTTTTATAAATTTGTCCTTTTGTTGAAAAATTAAAAAACGAAAAATTAAGAAAATAAAAAATAAAAAATAAAGTACTTCCAAGTAGGAAATTCCAAATTATTTTGCTTCTTCGATTTTTTGATTTCTCAGTTTTTCGATTTTTATTTTAGAGTTGTTGCATTTTTTAATTTTTTGTTGTCGATTTCTCGTTTTCTCGATTTTTGTTTCGTCAGTTTTTTTCAGGTTTCAATGTTACAATTTTTAGATTTGACAGTTTCTCGTTTTTTCCATTTTAAGATATTTTCATTTTTTGATTTTTCGATTGTTGATTTTTTCGTTATCCGATTTTTTACTTTCGCTATTTTTTCAACATTTCGGTATTTCAATTTTTTGTTGTTGTTCAATGTTTCATTTTTTTCGATTTTTCAATTTTCGATTTTTTAATTTTACAGTTTTTCGATGTTTATTTTGATATTGTTTAACTTCTGAATTTTACAATTTGTCGATTTTTCTATTTCTAGAAAATTTTGTTTTCCGTATTTTTCTATTTCTCGATTTTTAATTAATCAGGTTTTCGATTTTACAGTTTCTTTTCCAATTTTCCAAATTTTCAGTTTTTTCGGTTACCGAAGTTTTAAGATTACAATTTTTAAATTTCTCGGGGTTTCTAGTTTCGTTTTCTCTATTTTTGATTTTTAATTTTGCATTTGTCGACTTTTCTGTTTTTTAAATTTTCAGTTTTTTCATTTTTAAGGTTACAATTTTTCCTTTTTCAATTGTTGGCCTCTTAATTATTCGATTTTGAGTTTCTTTATTTTTGTAGTTCTCCGATTTCTCAATTTTTAAATTGTTCGGTTTTCAATGTTTCTTTTTTGATTTTTCATTTTTTCAGATCTACAATTTTCCATTTTTTTGATTTTTTAAAATTTCGCTTTTAATAAGTTTGTCCTTTTGTTGAAAAATTAAAAAACGAAAAATTGAGAAAATGAAAAATTAAAAATAAAGTAGGTGCTTCCAACTATGTAATTCCAAGTTGTTTCGTTTCTTCGATTTTTTATTTTCTCAATACGACATTTTTAAATTTTTGTTTTTTTTAATTGTTAATTTTTCGATTTCTCGATGTTTCAGTTTTTCGATTTTCATTATGATTTTTATTTTTCAGTAAAATTTTTGTATGTTTCGATTTTTAATTTGCAGATATTTTAATTTTGCGATTTTCCAAGTTGTTTTTTAATTTTTCCATCTTTTTACAGTTTTTCGTTTTTTCGATTTTTCAATTTCTCAATTTTTAAGGTTACTCAGTGTTACAAATTTTCGATTTTACGTTTTTATTTTTTTTTTAAATTTGCAATTTTGTAATTGTTTCATTTTTAAATTTCCCGATTTTTAATTTTTCACTTTTTTCAAATAATTATTATTAGGATTTTTTTCAAGTGTACAATTTTTGGCTTTTCAATTACCCGATTTTTCAGTTTCTGTATTCTTTCAAATCCTTGATTTCTCGGTTTTTAAATTTTTCGGGTTTTCAGTGTTTCGTCTTTTCGATGTTACAATTTTTCAATTTTGCCATGTTTCTTTTTTACAATTTCTTAATTTTTGAAATTATTTTTTTTTTTTGTATTTTTGACTATTTAATTTATAGAAGTTTTTGTTTTTTGTTTTTTCAATTTTTCACTTTCAGGGTTTTCTAGTTTCAATATTACAATTTTTAAATTGTTGGGGTTTTCAGTGTTTTTTTTTCGATTTTTCAGTTTTTAATTTTTTGATTTTTCAATTTTTCGGTGTTACAATTTTCCGATCTTTTTATTTTTTTAAATTTCAGTTTTAATAAATTTGTCCTTCTGTTGAAAAATTAAAAAACGAAAAATTGAGAAAATAAAAAATTAAAAATAAAGTACTTCCAAGTAGGTAATTCCAAATCATTTTGTTTCTTCAATTTTTTGATTTCTCAATTCGAGATTTTTATATTTTTCGTTTTTTTAATTGACAATTTTTCGAATTTTCCGTGTTTCGATTTCTCCATTTTTTAGTTTTTCGATTTTCATTATGAAATTGTTGCATTTTTCAGTAAAATTTTTGTATTTTTCGATTTTCTATCATTTTTTCAGGTTTCAGTGGTACAAAATTTCGATTTTACAGTTTCTATCTTTTTCTCAGTTGTTCCATTTTTTAATTGTTTTTTCCTTACCCAATTTTCAGTTTGCCTATTTTTTCAATTTTTCGATATTTCAAGTTTGGTTTTCAATTTTTGATTTTCAATTTTTCATTTCTTCAATTTTTCCATTTTTAATTTTTTTTTTCAAATTTACAATTTTGTAATTGTTTCATTTTTAAATTTGTCGATTTTTAATTTTTCGCTTTTTTCAAATAATTATTAGGGTTTTTATTATTCAGTTTTTGACTTTTCCATTTTCCGATTTATCAGTTTCTGTATTTTTTCAATTTTTCGATTACTCAACTTTTAAATTTTTCGGTTTTACAGTGTATCGTTTTTTTGATGTTACAATTTCTTAATTTTTTAGTTTTCCGGTTTTCATTTTAAAATTTCTGAATTTTTAAATTATTTTTTTTTTGTATTTTTGATTGTTTAATTTATAGAAGTTTTTGTTTTTCGTTTCTTTCACTGTCTCGATTTTTAATTAATCAGAGTTTTCAGGTTTCAATATTATAATTTTTCGATTTTTCAATTGTTTTTTTAATTATCCCATTGTTCAATTTCCCAATTTTTTCATTTTTCGATTTTTCAATTTTTCAATTTTTCGATATTTCAAGTTTCATTTTTCAGTTTGTAAGTCTCAGTTTTGGGTTTTTTCAAGTTTTTTATATTTTTTCAATTCTTCGATTTTTCAATTCAATTCAAAATTTCGGTTTCAATAAATTTGTCCTTTTGTTGAACAATTAAAAAATGCCAATTCGAGAAAATGAAGAATAAAAATTGAGAATTTGAAAAACTGTATATATTATCCAATTCAATTTCTCAATTTTTTCACTTTTCTATTTTTCAATTTTTCGATATTTCAAGATTCATTTAAAATCTTTGGATTTTAAAATTAAAAATTTTTTGATTTTTGATTATTTAATTTATAGAAATTTTTGTTTTTCGTTTTTTCAATTTTTCAATTTCACGATTTTTAGTTGTTGCATTTTTTTAATGTTTCGGTGTTAGTTATTCGATTTTGCTAAATTTTATTTTGATTAAAATCAAAAACTTAAAAACTTTAAAATTGAAAAATTGCAAAATTGTTTCGTTTTTCGATTTTTTGATGTTTCAATTTAGGGATTTTTTATTTTTTTGTTTTTCCAATTTTTCAATTACCGATTCTTACCTCCTTAGTTGTCATTATGCAGCACTCAGCTAACCTCATCCACAGCCGCGCATTCCTGTGGTACCTCCTGACTGCAATAATCAAACAATCAAAAGCCTGCGTCGGCCTCTTGGCATGCAACAACGAAACCCCTAAATTATACATAAGTTCGTGGTATTTTGAACCACCCAGTATATGTAAAGTCTTCTCCTCGCTTTTCCCGTCTTTCTTAACACAGTTCGTCAGCGCCATATCCTCTTTCAGAGCCAACTGGAAATAATGACACGCTAAATTCGGCTTGCCCATGGCGTGGTGAATAACACCCATGTTATTATAAAACATGACATCAGAAGATTCCCCACATTCATTATACACCAAACAATTTTTAGGTACAGAGCCTAAAAGTTTCTGCGCTTCTACTAAATTTCCTTTCAGGTATTCTAAATTAGACCCTAGGAACATAGCTTCTACGTTTTGCTTGTCTTTCAACAACAAGCTGATTTCTTTATGCGCAACGTCCAAATTGTGGTTCATTAAATAGCACCGAATTTTGTATCTGTTGAGCTTCTTTTTGAACTCTTCCATCGCCGGATCCAGCGGCTGCGTTTTCTTGGTGTCTTTCTCTTTGACGCTTTTGTCCAGAATTTTAATATTGGGGTTGCCGTTGATCAAATGGTTTTCTAAATAGTTTATCAAGCTGATGGCTTTGTCACTCTGGCGCACGCACAATTGGAGCTCGATTGCGAAAAGACTGACCTGTTTGGCCAGCGCGTCATCTACAAATTCACCATCAAAAACACACAAATCAATAAATTGACTCACCCATCGGTTCTATGAACTTGTACACTCGATCCATAATATAAATCGCGTTCGTGTATTGTCGCTGATGGTACAACAAAATCGCCTGATTATAGTGAACGATACATTGGTCCACATCGTCGAGTTTTTCCACACGAATTTTGAACTGAAAATTAGCGTCAGTATTAATACAACACTTATGGTCACTATTTTCGTTACCTGGTTGCAAATTGAGGTTAAGCTTTTCTGGAATGCGTCGGTTTTTTTAAAATCGCTCTTGCAATACTCCACCAAGGCTTTGTTATGCGCGACTTTAAAATCGTGCGTTCTGGTGTCTAGTTTGTTGATGAATTGCAAAGCGCCACCGTAATTGTTTCTAAAACGAAAAAAATTGTGGTTGGCTTCGGTACTACAAATTCGCTTACTTTTTATATTCGTTTAGGGTGTTTTGGGCGTATTCTTGCTCTTGGTCGGTCACAGTGTCGGTGGTTCTTTCAATTTCTTCTTTTTCAGACATTTTCGGTTTAAATTGTTGTTGTTCTTGTCAGATGATATCACAGTTGTTGTCACACCTTTTGAGGTTAGGTATAGATGGGTGGTTTCTTCGTGGTTTCTTCTCAAAGAATGACCATTGAGATGAAACTAGAAACGGCTATTATCCAAAAACTGAAATGTAATACGATTTTGTAACTTTTTTAGATTTATATTTGAAATTATAATAAAATTCTAAATATTTATATGCAACATTGACAACACGTCTGCATAATGGGTTGCTAATACCATAGATTAATATAGATGCGACATGCAGGCTGATTTTGCAAAACCACCCTTATTGACATTGGAGTCCTCAACCGCCAAAGACAAGCGCCAAATTTAAATAGTCGATGTCAATAAAAAACTTGTTTCACTACAACTCGTCGCCTGAGAACTTGTTTGATCTACAGACCAGAGCGCGCTCAGGCCAATGTCGACTCTAAGCGTTCAGAAGCGATTTGGTTAGTTTGGACTATAATTTCTGCGGGAAATAGTTGTTTGGTCGGTTTTTATAACGACTAAATGAATATTTTTGATACATATTTAAATGATTTTACATATTTTGTTTAACTAAGAATTAATTCATTATTCGTGTTTTATATTAGCAAAACGTCTTAAAGTATAGTAGATTGTTTTATTAGGATTAAAAGTGCCATTTTTTGCGACGAGCAAATTTTGCATTTGCGAGGCGGAGCGAAGCGAAGCCGAGCGGATGCAAAATTGCGAGTCAAAAACTGACTTTTAATCCGAATGAAACATACTACTTTTTCGCCAGCCAAAAAGTAAATCTCAAAAAAATTTTAACTTTTTAAGGCTAGGATTAAAAAAAAAAATTAATGCTAGGATTAAAAAGGCAAAAATGACGTTGTTACTTTAGTAACGCAACTTTTTTTTACTCTCACAAAAACGTCAAGTTTTCCGTCCAAAATTGACGTTAAAAGTGACATCTTTTAAGACGGCTGGCGAAAAAGAATATTTTTGAAACCGTAATAACCCAATGGATTTTTTCGGGAAAATGTTTTGGAAACACTGTGTTCTATTTTGCTATTTTGTATGAATTTTTAAATGTTTTTACTGACAATTTTTGTGGTTGTTTTGGATACACTCTCTGATATTATCAGTAAGAAAAAAAAAAAATGAAAATTCAAAATAATCGAGAAATCGAGAAATCTAATAATCGAAAATCGAAACATTAAAAAATCGTAAAACCGAAATATCGAATAACTAAAAATCTAAAAATGAATCATCTAAAAATCGAAAAATGTAAAATTCAAAAATCTAAAATTTAAAAACCGAATAACGAAAAATCGAAACTCCCAAATTTAAAAAATCGGATAACTGAAAAATCGAAAAATCGAAAGGTTAAAAATTGAACCATTTATAAGTTGAGAAATTGACAATCAAAATATCGAAAAATCCAAATCTCGATAAATCGAGATATCAAAAAACTTAAAAATTGGAAAAATTGAAAAATTGAGCGATTGAAAGATCAAAAGAACGAGAAATCGAAAAGTGATGAAGTCGAAAAATCGAAAAATAGAGAAATCGACAAACAAAAAGTTAAAAGTTGAAAAATTGGAAAAGCGGAAAAATGAAAAAAAAAAACGAAAAAATGGAAAACTGGAAAAACTGAGAAACCGAAATAGGCCAAAATAAAATATTGAAGAACTGATATCGAAAACCTGAACAATCAAATCTCGATAAATCGGGAATGAAAAATTAACAAATCGAAAAATTGAAAAACAGAACATCTAAAACCAGGAAGTCGAAAAATCGAAAGTTAAGAAATATTGAAAAATAAAAATATCAAAAGATTGAAAAATCTAACATTAAAAAAATCCAAAAATTGAAAAATCGAAAAAGTAAAAAGGTAGACACATCGAAAAATCCAGAAGTCAAAAATAAAAAAGCCGAAGAATTGAATTATTGAAAAATCCTAAAACTGAAATATCTAAAAACTGAAAAATCGAAAAACCAAAAAAGTGAAGTCGAAAAGTAAATCGAAAAATTGAAAAATCAAAAACCTGAAAAATCAAAAAATTAAAGAACTGAAGAACAGGAAAATCGCAACAGTCGAAGGTCAAGAAATGGGAAAATCAAACTATCGATTAATTGAAAAATCGAAAAATTGAGAGTTTATGAAAGTCAAATTTGAAAAAAATCGAAAATTTGACAAAATGACAACTGAAAAACAGAAAATCTAAAACCGGGAAGTCGAATAATCAAAAGAAAAAGAAATCGAAACATTTGCAAATTTCGAAAACTTGAAAAATTCAAATATCGAAGAACTGATCTGAAAAATCGAGAAATCGAAAAATCTAAAATTTTAAAAATTAAAAAATCCAAAAATTGAAAAATCGAAAAAGTAAAATAATCAACACATCGAAAAATCCAGGAACCAAAAATCGAAAAGTCGAAGAATCGAAAAATTGAAAAATCCCGAAACTCAGATATCGAAAAACTGAAAAATGAAAGAGCAACTGAAAAATGGAAAACCTGAAAAATCCGGAAACTGAAATATCCAAAAACTGAGAACCTAAAAAGTCGAAAAATTGAACAATCGAAAAATCCAAAAAGTGAAGTCGAAAAATCGAAACTTTAAAAAAACTAAAACATGAAAAATAGAAAAATTAAAGAATTGAAGAACAGGAATATCGAAACCCTCGAAAGTCAAGAAATGGGAAAATCAAAACATTGATTAATTGAAAGATCGAAAAATTGACAGTTTATAAATGTCAAATTGAAAATTTGAAAAAACGACAATTGAAAAACAGAAAAAACCGGGAAGTCGAAAATCGATAGATTAAGAAGTCAAAACATTTGAAAAATTCGAAAACATGAAAAACGGAAATATCGAAGAACTGAAATAAAAAATCGAGAAATCGAAAAATCTAGAATTTTAAATATTGAAAAATTAAAATATCAAGAAACTGAAAATTCTAAAATTTCAAAATCGAAAAATTGAAAAAAAGACAATTGAAAAACAGAAAATCCAAAACCGGAAAGTCGAAAAATCGAAAGATTAAGAAATCGAAACATTTGAAAAATTGAAATATGGAAGAAGTGAAATGAAAAATCGAGATATCGAAAAATCTAAAATTTTAAATATTGAAAAATTAAAATATCAAAAAATTGAGAAATCTAAAATTTAAAAATCGAAAAAGTAAAAAGTCGACACATCGAAAAATCCAGAAGCCAAAAATGGAAAAGTCGATGAACAGAAATATTGAAAAATCGCAAAACTGAAAAATGAAAGAAAAACTGACGAATCGAAAAACGGAAAAATCCCAAAACTGAAATATCCAAAAACTGAGAATCTAAAGAAACGAAAAATTGAGAAATAAAAATCAAGAAGTGAAGACGAAATATCAAAACCTTAAAAAAATCGAAAAATTGAAAAATCAAAAACCTGCAAAATCGTAAGATCGAAAAATTGAATAACAAGTAAACTGAAAAATCCCAAAACTGAAATGTCCAAAAACTGAGAAATTAAAAAAATGAAAAATTGAGAAATCGAAAAATCAAAAAAGTGAAGTTGAAAAATCGAAAGTTAAGAAATATTGAAAAATTAAAATATCAAAAGATTGAAAAATCTAACATTAAAAAATCCAAAAATTGAAAAATCGAAAAAGTAGAAAGGTAGACACATCGAAAAATCCAGAAGTCAAAAATAAAAAAGCCGAAGAATTGAATTATTGAAAAATCCTAAAACTGAAATATCTAAAAACTGAAAAATCGAAAAACCAAAAAAGTGAAGTCGAAAAGTAAATCGAAAAATTGAAAAATCAAAAACCTGAAAAATCAAAAAATTAAAGAACTGAAGAACAGGAAAATCGCAACAGTCGAAAGTCAAGAAATGGGAAAATCAAACTATCGATTAATTGAAAAATCGAAAAATTGAGAGTTTATGAAAGTCAAATTCGAAAAAAATCGAAAAATGACAAAATGACAATTGAAAAACAGAAAATCTAAAACCGGGAAGTCGAATAATCAAAAGAAAAAGAAATCGAAACATTTGCAAATTTCGAAAACTGGAAAAATTCAAATATCGAAGAACTGATCTGAAAAATCGAGAAATCGAAAAATCTAAAATTTTAAAAATTAAAAAATCCAAAAATTGAAAAACCGAAAAAGTAAAATAATCAACACATCGAAAAATCCAGAAGTCAAAAATCGAAAAGTCGAAGAATCGAAAAATTGAAAAATCCCAAAACTCAGATATCGAAAAACTGAAAAATGAAAGAGCAACTGAAAAATGGAAAACCTGAAAAATCCGGAAACTGAAATATCCAAAAACTGAGAACCTAAAAAGTCGAGAAATTGAACAATCGAAAAATCCAAAAAGTGAAGTCGAAAAATCGAAACTTTAAAAAAACTAAAAAATGAAAAATAGAAAAATTAAAGAATTGAAGAACAGGAATATCGAAACCCTCGAAAGTCAAGAAATGGGAAAATCAAAACATTGATTAATTGAAAGATCGAAAAATTGGCAGTTTATAAATGTCAAATTTGAGAAATTGAAAAATCGAAAATTTGAAAAAACGACAATTGAAAAACAGAAAAAACCGGGAAGTCGAAAATCGATAGATTAAGAAGTCAAAACATTTGAAAAATTCGAAAACATGAAAAACGGAAATATCGAAGAACTGAAATAAAAAATCGAGAAATCGAAAAATCTAGAATTTTAAATATTGAAAAATTAAAATATCAAGAAACTGAAAATTCTAAAATTTCAAAATCGAAAAATTGAAAAAAAGAGAATTGAAAAACAGAAAATCCAAAACCGGAAAGTCGAAAAATCGAAAGATTAAGAAATCGAAACATTTGAAAAATTGAAATATGGAAGAAGTGAAATGAAAAATCGAGATATCGAAAAATCTAAAATTTTAAATATTGAAAAATTAAAATATCAAAAAATTGAGAAATCTAAAATTTAAAAATCGAAAAAGTAAAAAGTCGACACATCGAAAAATCCAGAAGTCAAAAATGGAAAAGTCGATGAACAGATATATTGAAAAATCGCATAACTGAAAAATGAAAGAAAAACTGACGAATCGAAAAACGGAAAAATCCCAAAACTGAAATATCCAAAAACTGAGAATCTAAAGAAACGAAAAATTGAGAAATAAAAATCAAAAAAGTGAAGACGAAATATCGAAACCTTAAAAAAATCGAAAAATTGAAAAATCAAAAACCTGAAAAA